CGGGGGAGGCTGCCCGCTCGGCTGTGGCCCTGGCCAGCTGCGACTCCGCCTTGCTCCCCTCCGCGGGGAGTGCGGGGGGGGCCTGAGCCGCCGCCGCCGCCTGGCTCGCGGGCGAGCCGCCTGGCGCCGTCGCGCCGCTGGTCGCTGCTGCTGCTCCTGAGGCCTGCCATGCTGGAAGGAACTGTGGGGCCATGGGGACTTGTGGCACGGCTGGGCCCCTCTGCGGCTGAGCCTGCTGGGCCGGGGCCATCTCAGGCCAGGCTGAGGTCCCTCCATATGGCCCCGCCGCTGGTGGCTGCTGGCCAAACTTGCCCCAACCCTTGGTGATCTGGGCGCGCAGCTGCTGCAACTGCGCCTCCGCTGCCATCTGCTGCTGCAAGTGCATGATGTACTCCATGTTGCCTCCCGCCTGGGCTGGGAATGGTGTCGGCATGCCAGGATATGCCGCTCCTTGGATGGGAGGCGGTGGCGGCGGTGGCGGGGCTGTATGCCAACCTTGCGGTGGCTGAGCTGCCTGCGCCACCGATGCTTTCGGCTGCGCCTGCGGTGCAGGCGCCCGTCGGGGCTGCGGCGGGTGCGCTGGCTGCGCCTCGGGCGGTGTTGGCCAGGCTGGTGTTGCTTGGGTCGCCCCCAGGTTGGCGTCCATCGCGATGTCCGCTGCGTCCTCCTCCGCCTCGAGCTCCTCGGGGGCTTCCGCCAGGCGCTCCATCCTGGTGTTCATCTCGCGCTGCTTGGTCTCCAGCGCCTCGATCTGGTCTCCCACTTTGTCGATGGCAATTGCCAGGTCCTGCTGCTCCTTCTTGTTTCTCTCAATTTGCGGGTCTCCAGCGGTTCCATGGACGCAATGAGGTATTTGTGGAGGCCGATCTCCAGCTTCGAAGGCTCGTCCTCCCCCCCGTTGGCCTCGGAAGCTGCAACTAGGGTAGCCAGTACTCTTATAGCTCGTTTTTGTCGATCTTGAAACCTTCCATCTGACAGGCGGATGCTGGTGGTGTCTCGTAGCGCCTGTGCCGGAGCGCCTCTGCCTTCAGCATGGGAGGGTGAGCCGCAATGATCTTCTGGATCATATCCTCTGTGACTACTGGCTTGGAGCCCGTCGCGCGGCTGCGCTCGCTGCGCTCGGGCTGGCGGTGCGTCGAATTCCCCCGACGCCTCGACTGACTTTGCTTGCGGGGCGGTCTGGCCTTGTGAGCTGCCCACTCTTGCCCACAAAAGCATCGATAATATTTGTCCGGCACGTTTCGCTGGCAAGAAGGACAATCCCATCCCATCTACGCGCAACGGATGTGCTGGTTAGAACTGTGCGTATGGGCGCCCCCACTATAGCAGTACGAATGTGTGCAGTGAACCTGCAAGAGAAAAAAAGGCTGGAGCCCCTGTCCTGGAGCCTCTCCAGGGCTCCTCGGGTAACGGTCACCCTTGACCAACCTAGAGAAATGGTATACTTGAGGCAAAATGGCTTGAGTCAAAATGGCTACGGCCCTCCTCCTCATCCTCCTCCCTTGGCCTCGTCCTAGAGACGGCGACGGCAGCGGCCATTGGAGAAGGTGTGTTCGCAGGGCATGCGGCGACGGTGACGTCAGCGGCCACTGCCAATGTTACGGCAGCATATGCTGGTCCACGGGAGCGGCGATGGCAGCGGCACGCCCGCGTGTGGTTATGACCCATGACGAGATTAGCAAGTTGGAATCAGGCTCTCGCCATGGCCTCATTGGTTTGCAGGGCGAGCGGGCGTATGTGCATGTCCTGCGCGTGCATATTCCGTCAGCATCACCGCCAGCATCATCATCATCATCAGCAGCAGCAGCATCAGCAGCATCAGCATCATCATCACCATCACCATCAGCAGCAGCAGCATCATCCTCATCCTCGTCCTCGTCCTCGTCCTCATCATCATCATCATCATCATCATCATCATCATCATCATCATCATCATCATCATCATCATCATCATGATCATCATCATCATCATCATCATCATCAGCATCAGCATCAGCATAATCAGCATCATCATCAGCATCATCAGCATCATCAGCACCTGCATCATCTTCATCATCAGCATCATCATCATATTCATCTTCATCTTCATTCCCATCAGCAGCAGCAGCAGCAGCATCAGCATCATCAGCAGCAGCATCATCACCATCATCATCATCACCACCATTATCATAATGGCCATCGTCAGCAGCTGCAGCATCAGCAGCAGCAGCACCATCATCGCCGTCGTCTGTAACCGTTTGGCTCAAGCTTGCCGTGGGCGCCAGTCAGGCGAGGTGCGCGCAGTGCCTCTACCCTGAGACCTACCTCCTCGGAGGGCAAAGCGAATGGCGGCCCATTCCTTCTCCCCGTCGCGGCCCCCGCGATGACGACGTACGACAGCCGGGGGCAGGCGCTGGCGACGGAGGGAGCCCTGGGAGGGGTGCAGCCCGCTACACGCCGCGCGGCGGAGTCCGCCAACACGGGGCCCACGGCGGCGCGACGGGCTGCGCGGCGGCGGGCCCACCGGGCATGCGAATGTTGCCGTGGTCAAGCGTCGCGGCCATGGGGAGGAGGGGGAGGAGGAGGAGGAGCAGGAGCAGGAGCAGGAGCAGGAGCAGGAGCAGGAGCAGGAGCAGGAGCAGGAGCAGGAGGAGGAGGAGGAGGAGGAGGAGGAGCAGGAGGAGCAGGAGGAGCAGGAGGAGCAGGAGCAGGAGCACGAGCACGAGCAGGAGCAGGAGCACGAGGAGGAGCAGGAGGAGGAGGAGGAGCAGGAGGAGCAGGAGAAGGAGGAGGAGGAGGAGGAGGAGGAGGAGGAGGAGGAGGGCGGGTGGGCGTGATTCACGGCACGACCGCGTGGCCGAGGCCCGCCCCGCCCACCGCCTGGACGCGAGGGGCACGCGGGCCCTTGGAGGGACAAGGCGGCGTCGCGCCTGGGCCTGGCACGCCGCCCGGGCCCCCCAGTGCGGCTGCGCCACGGCCACGGGGCAGGAACTGCCACCGCCACGGCCACGTCCACGGCCACGGACGCCCCCCATCGCACCTCCCAGGGTTGGGCCCCAAGTGTTTGGTCCATTCGACAACCTCCCAGTGCTCGGGGTCGACATGCAGTGGAGACCCATGCCGAGAGACACCCTGCTTGCCACCAGGGTGCCCTGGGCTTCTCGGGTTTCGAGGGTTCTGCGACGGCAAGGCGCGACGCTCCCGCACCAAAACCCGATGGACGTCCTGGAATCTCAGGGTTGAGGCTTCTTGTGGAAGGTCTCACGTGGTCTGGCCTCCACTGTAGTCGCGGCGGCGGCGAGGCCGTGCTTCGGAGCGGCTCGGCATCCCTCGGGTCCGCTGGCGCGGCACGGAGGTCGCAGGGCCCGGGGACGACGACGACGGCGGTTCCTGCCACGGCGACCCGCTGCCGAGCGTGCCGCCCTTCCCCACGGAGCCGCCCGCGGAGCTCGAGCCCGAGGAGGCGTCGCGCGCGGGTGATCCACGCGAGGGCCGAGGCGGCCTCCTGAGCGCCGCGTCTGGAGGCGCACATCTGCCGCGGGGCGCGGCAGGCGAGGCTGGAGACGGCAGCGACGACGTCGAGGGAGAACATGCCCGACCGAACGCTGGAGGGGACCCCGCGCGGGGCGACCGCCGTGCGGGTCCCTGAGCACGACCAGGCCGAGTCCCTCCAGGCCGCGGGGGCTCGGAGGCGCAGGAGTCCACGGAGGCGGCGGCCGGCGCAGGCGGAAGGCGCGGCCCGACGAGCCCCGCGCGGCCCCGCGGAGTTCCGCTCGGCTGCGGCTGGGGCTCGCGTCTGCCGCCGCGGTGGCCTCGCTCGCGCTGCTCCGCGTGGGCCCCGGCCTCGCGGCGCAGGGGGAGTGGAGTGGCCGCCGCTGCCCAGCTCCGGGGCCGAGGGCGCGCAGAAGCTTCAGCGGCGCCGCAATCAACGGGTACCCCTTAGTGGGCACGCCGTGGAGATTTGCCCGACGCTGCCGCTTTTGGGGGCCTTTTGCTGGCATTGCAGCGTGGCCCACATCGGGGAGGATTGGGTTCGTTGGGTCCTTGGCCAAAGTATGCGTTGCGTTGGTGCAGTCCCCGTCGGAGGGGCGCCGAAGGCCGGAGGGCGCCACCATCCCCGACCACAGCCGGATACGAGCCGTGAGCGGCCAGCCTCACGGCGCCGCGCGGCGGCAGAAGGAAGAAGAACAGATGCAGCAGCTCCTCGCCGAGGAGGCCGCCATCAGCTTCGACAGACTACGTGCGGGACGGCGTTGATGGGGCAGTCAGCCGTGCGCCGAGGCGCAGCGCTGGGGTGCCAGTGCCGTGGGCGCGGAACGAGGGCTTGAGGTGCGTCCCCTCCCCCGCGGCTTGCGGAGCGCGGCAACAGGGAGGGAGTTTCCCCCTGGTGGACGCGCTCGTGTCTCGGGCCTCTGGCTGGGCAGGCGAGAGGCAGGGCCATGGCGGGAGAGAGGCCCCTGAGTTCCAGCAGAATGGCAGGGGAGTGAGTCGGGCCGATGGGGCTTCCTCGCGGCACGACGCGATGGCCCGTGTTTGTCCGCGATGGTTTCGGCGGTGTTTCCCTCAGAAAGTCCGAGACCCTCCATTTCCTCCGCCGGCGCTGGAGCGACGCCGCTGCTGCAGCCGAAGCTCATTGTCGCCAATGATTTGCGCACCTTCGTCATCATCAGCCCTGCCATCATCATCATCATCATCATCATCATCATCATCATCATCATCATCATCATCATCATCATCATCATCATCATCATCATCATCATCATCATCATCATCATCATCATTATCATTATCATTATCATTATCATCAGCAGCAGCAGCATCATCAGCATCATCAGCATCATCAGCATCATCAGCATCATCAGCATCATCATCAGCAGCAGCAGCGTCATCATCAGCATCATCATCAGCATCATCAGCATTATCAGCAGCATCATCCTTACATCCTTTTCCACGACTGATACTTCAAATCGCGTTCGTCCCGCATCCGATCCGTCCCGCCCCTGCCCGCGGGCCACGCCGAGGTATACGTAGGGTCGTTCTGGGACGAGTCCCTGCAGAATGACGAGATGGCCTCTCTGTTTGCCCCCCCGCCCGTCGTGTAGTGCTCGAGCACCGGGGAAGAGCAGCAGGGGGCTCAGAGGGCCACGCGAGAATGCGAGGGATCGGGCGAGTGGTAACGGGGGGGTGGCCTACATTGGGAGGTGAAGAAGGAGGGCCCCGAAGAGCCGCAGGCCTCCTGGACCTCCTCTTCTTCCCGTTCATGTTCCTGTTCCTGTGCCCGATCTTGATACTCCTCCTCCTCCTCCTCCTCCTCCTCTTCTTCCTCCTGCTCCTCCTCCTCCTCCTGCTCCTCCTCCTCTTCTTCCTCCTCCTCCTGCTCCTCCTCATCCTCCTCCTGCTCCTCGGAGCAGATGGGGTCGGAGGACCGCGCCGCATCGCCGATGCATCGCCGGTGCGGCCCGATTTACATCGGGCGTGTCCCTCTACAGGAGGAACGGTCAGAGATAGTCCAAAGATAGTATGGGGATGATGTTTTGATTGTTTGACATATCTATATATATATATATACAAACAAAAGATGGGACATGCCCGATCTAAGGATCGATGTGGAGCCCAGTTTTCTCCACGCCGACGTCGCCGATGCATCGCCGACGTCGGCGATGCATCGCTGGTGCATCGCCGATGCATCGCCGATGCGGCGCGATCTTCCGACCCCATCTACTACGACCCCATACAGGAGGCCTCTAGAGAGGGAGGGGTCGGGCGGGGCTAGGACGAGGATAATCCGTTCCAGAGCGTTCCGGAACGCTTTCAGAGCGTGCCAGAACGTTCTAAGAAGTCCGCGGCGTCCGAGACATCGACCAGATCCGCCGGACCTGGGATTCTCGATTTATCCGTACCCGATTTTATCCTCGTCCAAGCTTCGTAGTCGAGGGGAGATGGAGAAAGGTTAAGTTGCGAAAGGCGGATGGGGGGGGGAAGGGGCACAATATGTGAAAGATCTGCGCCTCAGACAGGGGAGCAAGACGAGTCTGAGGAAGATGATTGGCAAAATGAGCTGAAACAGTGAGACCGGGAACGAGGAGGAGGTGGAGATGCGCAAGAGGGGGCGATAGGAAGGGGAATGGGGAGGGGAAGAATGGGGAGGAGGACGACGGAGGAAGCTGATGAGCAGGAGGAAGAGCAGCAGGGAAGTGAGGGGAAGGAGGAGGGGGAGCGGGAAAAAAGAAGGAGGAGAAGGAAGAGGAAGACGTCGGCGACGACGGCAAGGAAGATGAGGAGGGGGTTGCAATGTAAACGGGGTGAGGGACAACAGGAGGACGGGGATAATTATGATGATGAGGAGGGAAGAAGCAGGGGGAGGGGAAGCGGAGAATTACGGAGAAGGTTGGAGGCGAGGATTCGGAGGAGGGTGGACGAAGAGGAGGACAAGGTGAAAGGACCAGGAGGTCCCAGGAAGTTGGGGTGGGACGCCCTTTCCAGGATTGATTTATTTTCGGCATACTGATTCTTCATCTGAGACCTTGGGCGAAAGCCCAACACAGGCAGATAAACATACAGCGCAAGCATGTTCCAATGCTTGCTTTCAACCGTTTGCGTGTCGCATCGATGATGAGTTGACATCTCGAGCGTTTCACACCATGTGAAGACCACTTATTTTACGCTGCGGAAGCGATCTGTTTGCAAAGGTGGGTGTACGAGCGAGGAGAAGAGAAGGTGCGACGAACAAGGAGAAGACAGGCGGGGAGGGGATCGATGGAGGAGTGGCAGGGGCACTGGAGGGGGGAATCGAGCAAGGGTGAAGCTCGGGCGAGAGAGGCGGGAAGGAGAGGCGGAGGGGGCGCGGTGCACGGAAGGGACCGGCGCGCAGTCCACACGGAAGGGACAGCGATGGGCAACGCCTCTGGGGGCAGGGAGCGACGAGGGAGCCGAGGGACCGAGGAGGTCCGGGCTCGCCGCCGAGATGTAGGAGGGTCGGCCCCCGCGCTCTCGCCTCGCCTCGCGCGGCGCGACGCGCGCAGCGCGGAGTCGGGTGGCCTCTGGCCCAGGGCCTCCTCGTCCTCCTCCTCCTCCTCCTCCTCCTCCTCCTCCTCCTCCTCCTCCTCCTCCTTCTCAGTCCTCCTCCTCCTCATCCTCCTCCTCCTCCTCCTCCTCCTCCTCCTCCTCTCAGTCCTCCTCCTCCTCATCCTCCTCCTCCTCGTCCTCCTCCTCCTCCTCCTCCTCTTCCTCCTCCTCCTCTTCCTCCTCCGCTCGGGTGGGTCCAGATGATGTCGGGGCGCGGGCGCTGCCAGGCCCTGCCGGAGGGCCGGCGGCTCCGACGCGCTCGCTCGCGCGGGGCTGGCTCGGGGCGCTCCACGGCAGAAGGCCGCCGGTGCGGTCACGTCGGCATCGCTCGGAGGTGTGCATCTTCCCCTCGGCGAGGAGCATCGAAGAGCAGCTCGGACCATCTCATCTCGCGAGAAATACACGCCCGAAGTCTAAGAATGCTCGGGGGATGGACGTCCGGGCGATGGCGAGTCACGGGGGCCGTCTTTGGAAGGAAATATCTTTGGACTCCCAAGTCCCAGTGCATTTTGGCGCCTTCCTACTTCAAGAGTGGAGGTGTCTTCCCTCTTCCCTCGTCCTCGGGGGTCAGGCAGAAGCCCCATATGATTTCGACGCCCTCCTACTTCCTGTTTCTACCCACTTTTTGCGACCGACGGGTAGGGAGGCAGGGGGGTCGAAAGCACCCCTGCTTCTAATAAGGCGCGGGCCTTCACTGTAGAGGTAGGGCCGGCGCCATTAAGAATCAGCGTCCTGGAAAGAAGCCTTCCCCTATCCCCCCTACCCTTAAGTCGGGCCTGTCCTTCGACAGGAGGAAACGCAAAAAGAGTCCAACCATAGTCTGGGGACGAGTTTTCGATTAATCTTGGCCAGTTATAGGCATTTTTGACTATTCTCTATTCTTCTTCCAAAATCCGCCTGCAGGGGGACATGCCCGACCTAACCCTATCCCCTATTGCGCGCCGCCCGGGGGGGATTTGCTCCTCTCGGTCGCCCCGGGTTGGGCGCACAGTGGCCGTAAGGCGGCTCGGTGAACATGGAAGCCGCTTGCAGCATGCAGCAAATACATAAGATGAGGAGGAGGAGGAGGAGGTGCAAGCATACGAAGAAGGAGGTGGCAGGAGAGGAGGAGTAGGAGCAGGGGATCGCAGAAGGAGGAGGTGCAAGCAGCCGAAGATTGAAGAAGAAAAGAATGCATAAAGATGAATAGTCGGAGCTCCGTGCAGATTTCTAGGACCGGTGCCGGGCCGCCCTGGCGGCGCCTCTGGCGCCGTCGCTGGCGCGCTCCGTGCGCCAGGGAGGGGGGTCCAGCACGGATCCAAGAAATCCGCGCGGAGTTTTGAACATTTATGTTTATGCAGTTTTCTGTTCCTATAATTAGACGAGCCCGCGTGGGCACGGAGATTCGGGGCGAGTTGACACGTCCCAGTCCAGGTTGGGCGGGAAGGTGTGCCACACTTCCTCGTTGCTGTATGCAGGCCCGAACCCGACGACGCTGGTTTGGGATTATTGATGTGTTCTTTCCTCCCGAACTGCATTGGCCAGACTTAAAGGCCAAGGGAATCCATGTTGTGTTTGCGGCACCCACGGGCGCAGGAGCGCGAGCAGGACGACCTGTACAGGCACATAGAGCAGTTGCCTCGAAGCCGCTCCCGCTCCTGCCAGCATCTGACTTTTAGGCGGTAAGAAACAGGAGGGCGAGAAGGTCGTCGTTTTCTTATTCATCGTTTTGCCGATCGGCGCGGGCCCTCGGCTGTTTTTGGCGTCTGTTTGGAGCAGGCGGAGCCTAGACTCCCCCATAGGACGCACCGTTGCAAACAGTCGCGCTGAGCAGAGGTCCGGAGCCAGACCCCCCCCCTCCCCCCCCTGCCGCCCAGTGTCGAAGCGCCGAATAAGAAAACGCTCACGAGGAGGAGGGCGTGTGGCGTGAAGTGCAGTAAGGTGCGCCGAGGGTGGCACGACGATGATTCGCCCAGCACAAGGGAGATTGTCAACACTCAGCGGCCAGTTGTTAACACATGCTGGGTAGGCGGTTCAGGGCGCATTTGACCTGAAAGACTCGTGTACAGCAGTCACGTGTCGCATGGCGCGAATATAGGTGCAGGAGAGAGCTCTGCGCACTACGCCTGAATAAGGTGTTTTATACTTTCCGCCCAGATCCAGGTGCGAGGTTGCCTCTTTCGGTGGGTGGGGATGTGGATGCTGAAGCTGATGTGGAAAATCCTGGAGGCCTCGCGCGGCGCGTAATAGTAGTATTATCTAGACCACACGTTAGCTCCGTAAGCTATGGGTCCACGCTCGCGCGGCGATGCTCCGGAGTCAGTCCGACGTAATTCCGACTTAGTCCGACGTGAACCCGACGTACATCCGACGTGGATCCGACCGTAAATCGGGTCTCAAGTTGCCGCACGAGGCCTCCAGGATTATCTTCATAATTAAACAGAGGACACGCTCTGAAGTTGATCCGCTTGGAAACGTTAATGTGGCCATGCACTGCGGGCTTGGCGCGACGCCAGCCCTGGGCCCCGCCCACGGACTGTTCCGATGGCAGATGGCACGCGCAATTCTTGGCGCCTCGCACACGCCGAAAGATCATGCACTGGGCGCGTGGCTGAAGTGAGGTTATGCGGTGCGGATTGGTGTTGTTGGTGTTGGTGTTGGTGTTGTTGGTGTTGATGTCGTTGTTCGTTTGTTGTTGTTGACGCTGCTGTTGTTGCTGCTGCTGCTGTTGCTTTGGACACGTCTGCGCGGACAAGCTTCGATGTGACCACCTGTGCAAGAAAGGTGAACCAGCGACCCACTATTGGGACGCTGGTGCGGTAGCGGAGGAGACGAGCACCGCAGTGGCTCGCCCCACAAGGACCGCTGCCGCCAATCGCGGAGCGGCGGCCGTGCGCAACCCGTGTCACGGAGATGGCTCTGGTGCCGGGTGAGGCTTGCCAGCTGTTGCAGCAGACACGTCAGCTGCGGCCCGTGGCGGCCGCCGAATTCAAGTGCAAGGCCTTGCACGCTTGTGCCGCCTCGAGCTCCATATTTCGTTACTTTCGCAGCCTCGGCAGCGGTCGCGCCAGCACCGGCGGTCGCCGAATGGCCGCGGCGGTTGTGTGTGCTGACGATTGTGAAGTCCCCGTGGAAAATTGGGAGCGAGGAGTGGCCCCAGAGCTGCACGTCCACGCGCGGCTCACGCATGGTTGCCGTGGCGAGCTCTGGAAGCACGACCTCGCGTGTGGCTGCAAGGCCGGCTGTGCGAGCGCACGCCGCGAGCTCGTCACAGACTCCATCATGCAGACGGTTGTGGGCTCCACCGATCATGCAAGATATCGCGTGATCTCCAAGCTCGTCGCGCGCGTGGCCACAGACCCTTCCAGCACGCGCGCGGCGCTGACAAAAGCACGCGACGCCGAAGAGCGGGAGCCGGAGACGCCGGCGGAAATTGATGCGGAACTCATCGTCCGACCAAGGGGCCAAATCCCCAGTTGCGTTGGCTGTGAAACCAAGCCCGCCTTCCGGACCGCCTCCGGACAGCCAGTGTTTCCGCTGCCCAGGCGTCCCTGCAGAGAGTGCGGCATCGGCCGCTCGGAGCATCCACAATTTACGACGGTGCCGCAGCGCTACGCCTGCAGCCACCGCGTGCTCGAGCGAAAATGTGTGGGCACCTGTTTGCGCATCAGGCTCCGGCTGCGGCATCCCCCACGTGTCGAGGAACACGCCGCTCGCTGCCAACCGGCCAAGGCAATGTCTGGCAGCAGCGAGCATACCGGAGCGCTCGTACCCTAGGTCGATTACAGCTGGCTGCAGGTGGACGACAAGCCGCCGAGAGGCTTTCGGCAGCACGCGGAGGAGCGTGGCGAGATACGAAAAATGAGCCTCAAGAGCAATGGGTCGAAGCGCCATGCCTCCATGGCTGAGCGGTGCATTCAGGGTGCTGAGACAGGCCTGCCACTGCGGGCCCGTGCAAGCAGGCCCCAAGAAAGCTGTCCGGACAAGATCGCTGCCCGCGTCGTCCAAACGACGTGCGCACGGCAGGAAGGCCGCCGGCTTCACAACGCAGGCGTCGTAGGACAGAGCGCGGTTCAAGACCAAGCAAACAAGCTTCCATAGAGGACCCAACTTACGGCAAGTGAGCTCGGCATGCGCAACTCGTTTAAAACTCGAAGCGAATGCGATCGCTTTCTCGCACCGCTTTTGCACTGGGCCGAGGGTGGCCCCGTCGAAACTAAAATGCGCGCTGCACTCGCCTTCGGCGTGAGCGCCAAGGAGAGCAAGACCAGACGCGTCGAGTTCAGCACGCGGGCGCAGCTCGGCAGCGAGCTCGCCAGCGAGAGCCGGGTCTGAACGGGCAGCTGGCACGTGGGCTTTGGTCTTGTCGACGCGCAGTTTCAGCCCCCGTGCCGCAAAGCACTGCGTCGCGATCCGCATCGCTTGCGGCCAGTGCTCACGCGGAGCGGCGACGCAGACGTCGCCGACGAAGAGGCGGAGACGCGGGCGAGAGGACTCATCTGCGAACGCCTTGGAGTAGGCCTCAGAGATGTCGCGAATGCCGGCCGAGAATGCGAGGCCGAAGTCCGAGGTTGCACTGCAACCGCCCTGGCAGCAACCCCCTTGCATTTCCAGCGTCTTGAACTGCTCCCCCACCTGGGCGCAGCACAGCTGCCGGACTCCCCCGAACCACACGTTGCGCTGCAGTGTCGCCGTGCGCGGAGAGCATGCTCGTAGGCGCCCTGCCGGCGGGCAGTGCCGAAGGCATTCTCGAGGTCGAGCCCGAGGTCGACCCAGCGCGGGTGGGCCGCCATGTCCGCCTGGACCTCGGCGACGAGGGCGGCAGCGCCACTCTCTGCGCCGAGCGCATGCTGGTTGCTGCCGACGTGCGCGGAAACCCTGTGGAGCTCCGCGCGGCTGATGGCGCCCGCGGCGAGCTTGAACAGGACCTCCTGGAACACGATGGGGCGCGCCTTGCCCCCGCCCTTGTCCGAGGAAATGAGCCCGGATGAAGGCCGGCAATTGGCGGCAGGCCCACATCGGCGCCCATTTTGAGAGTGCCCGCGTCGCGTGCGGGCTCCTGAGGAGCGCCTGGACGCGGGAGTTACGCTCCCCGCTGGGCCCGGCATGCGCCAGTGCACGGGCGCTCCAGATGCACGCGCGGACCTGCTTGCACTCGACGGGGTTGCACTTGGACACTGGCGGGGCTGGCGGTCGCGAGGCGCGAGCCTCGGCGGAAGCCGGCGGCAACAGCGCGGTCAGCTTCTCGTGCGTCTCCTCCGCCGGCGGGAGGAGTTTCGCCCCTGTCAGCAGGCGCTTGGCCTTTCGGAGGTCGCCAATGCTGGCGCCCTCCAAAGCGCGAGTCCACGTAGACGTAGAGTCCTGCTGGGTGGCCGGCCCCCCGCCTGCATCGGTGGTAGCATGAGCAGGCGGTGCGTGCCGAAGGTGGCTGGCATGTCCAGCGCCACGCTCGGCATGACCCGCAGCCCACTAGCGTTCGTCCTGCGCGGCAGCAGTGACGAGATCAAGCCACTGAGCAGCACTGGCGAGCTGCATCCTCGCTCGGAGGAGGCGGGCGAAGCTCTGCTTGGGCTGGTCTTTCTGGACCGGCTGGCTGGACTGCGGCATGCTCGTCTGGCTCGGCAAGGCGCTCACGAAGCAGGAGGCGCGGCGCCGCGAGCGCCAGTAGGTTGAGCCCCTCCTGCACCAGCGGCGGGAGGTCAGAGCCCAAAGCATCCATAACCATGTCGAGGGCCTGCAACCGGACAGCGGCGCACTGGCGAGCGAGCCGCGCGGGCACCCACCTCACCAGCGGCGCGCGGCGAACGACCAGAAGTTGTCGAAGCGCCAGCAGTAGCTGACTCGGCCCACTTACTTCATCTGCAGCCGCCCGAGGCGGGCTGTCGGAGACAGCGGCCGGAGGTGCCGGCAGGGGCGGCACCTCCAAGAGCGAGTCCACCGCTGCTGCTGGCGCCGCGCTCTGCTGCTGCTGCTGCTGACTCGGCCCACTTACTTCATCTGCAGCCGCCCGAGGCGGGCTGTCGGAGACAGCGGCCGGAGGTGCCGGCAGGGGCGGCACCTCCAAGAGCGAGTCCACCGCTGCTGTTGGCGCCGCGCTCTGCTGCTGCTGCTGCTGCTGCTTCTGCTGCTGCTGCTGCTGCTGCTGCTTCTGGGACGGTCGCTGCCCCTGCTGGGAGGCGCAATGCCTGCAGACGACCGCGGGGCAGGAGGAGCACCGGTACATCCACTTTCCGCACTCGATGCCGCCCTCGCACTCCGCGCATTTCAAGCGAGACTCGCCTCTCTTAGCCTGACCGCCGGTCCGGGGCAGCTGGCATTGAGTGCAGAGCGTCGCACGCCGTCGCCGCCTGCTGGACGAGGCCGCCGCGTCGACGGCCAATGCTGGGGCCACCGGCGCCTGGCCAAGTGACGGGCCTTGATCGGCCACCTCGGTCTCGACCAATGGCGTCGGAGAGTGTCGTCGGAGATCTGGTCGGGCCCTGGGCGCCGAGCCTCGCCGACGCGGACGCCGTGCCAAGGGCTCCGCAGTCGGCAGTCGCGCGGCGGCAGCGTCATCCGCAGAAGCAAACCGACCGGAAGCCCGCACATGAACTGCAGCCTCTGCTGCCGGCGCGCCCCAGCCGGCTGCCGGCGCCAGCGGCAGCGCGCGCTGACCTGGCGGGAGGGGCCCAAGTGTCACGAACAGAGGTGGTTCGCGCTCCCGGGAGCGGGATCTTCCGTCGGCCTCCTCTTCCTCCTCGTCCTCCGCGGCGTGCTGCGGGCCGCGCGGCGGCGGTCGCCGCGGCCGCGCCCGCGGCTTCGGACATCACGGAATCGCCGGCGGCGCCCAGGCCCGCCGCCGCACCAGCGGCACCTGCGGGGCCTGCGGGCGCAGGGGACAGCAGCACGGCCCGCAGCTGCTGCACGAGGCCGTCTGCTCCTCTCTGAGCGGCGGCGGCGGCGACAGCCGCAAGCGCACCATCGAGCCCCGCGACCCCGGCGTCGGCGGCCAGGCACGCCGCCGCGCCTGCAGCAGCCACCTCCGCCTGCGCCGCAGCGACCGCCAGCTCCGCAGCCTGCGCCTCGGAGATGGCTTGGGCAGCGCGGGCGTCGGCTGCCTCGGCAGCCCGCTGAGCCCCCTCGGCCGCGGTCCGAGCAGCCGCCGCGGCCCCCTGGGCACGCCGCGCCGCTTCGGCGCGGTTCCACCGCGAGTCCAACGCGGACTGCAGCCGACGCTCGAGAGGCCGGGCAGCACGCTCCGCCTCCTGCAGCTCGGCCGCCGCGGACTCGAGCCGCGCCACCTCCGCCGCCCACTCGGAGAAGGGGCGGAGGGCGGCGATGCGGGCCTTGATGCCGGCAAGGCCCTCCAGGGCAGGAGTAGCTGCCTGGGGCGCCTGCCGACCACATCCTCGACAAGAGGTGCGCCAGCCGAAATTGTCGGCAGCCCCGCAGGCGCAGCTCCAGGGCGCCTCGCGGGCCCCCTTGGGCTCGCCAGGTGCGCCACGGCGCTGCCCAGGCGGCTGCCGCGTCTGCGAACGCGGAGGCCGCGCCACTCCAGCAGGGCGACTGGACTTCCTGCACGCCTCCGCCAGCTGCTTCAGCTGCCGCTGGATAGCGCCCCATGGCGGTTGGGCGTTATCCCCGCGCCCGCCGCCACGGCCGCCCGGCATCCGGCACCGGCCACGCGCGCGGATTGCCCTACGCGCTGGGCCGGGGATCACAAGATGCCAAGACAAGCTTCGATCCTCTGGCTGCTGCTCTTGCGCCTCGTACACGCCGAAAGATCATTCACTGCCCCTGGGGGCGTGGCTGAAGTGAGGTTATGCGGTGCGGATTGGTGTTGTTGGTGTTGGTGTTGGTGTTGTTGGTGTTGATGTCGTTGTTCGTTTGTTGTTATTGACGCTGCTGTTGTTGCTGCTGCTGCTGTTGCTGGTGTTGCTGTTGGTGCTGTTGGTGTTGTTGGTGGTGTTGTTGTTGCATCGCCCCCCCCGCGAACCA